ACCGGAAATGATCCGTGCACTCTAAGAAAAAATAAGGAAAAAGGTAGTACCGGCGCGTCTTCCTCCCTTCTACTGACGCGCCCCCAAGCAGACACGAGAAGGGAAGAATGAGACGCTTTTTTCCTTTTCCAGGAAGACGGGAGAAAGGTTCCACGCTCCTGCCTCGCCTTCTTTCGGTTTCGCTTTTCAAGCACGTCGCGCACTTTGCTTAATAAATGTTGTTGAGTTGATTAAGCTTAAGTGGCAGCGAAGGCCGCCTGTGATTCCGGCTCCCCAGTACAAAGGTGCGGAACATTTTGGCTGCATGGCCGTTTTTACCCTCTAACTTTGTCAAACGAGGAAACGAAGCCGCTAGAAACAGCGAAGTTCCGGAGCACTGCCAGCAGCGCTACGTACACTGGGCTAAGATGGCCGTCTTTGGATTGCGGACCAAGGAGTGGATGTTAACGACGTTATGGAAACCGCGGAAACTGCTTCCAAGACAGGCAGGTTTTCCTGCCGGGTGACTCGGTGCCTGCTGGGCTGAGTCCGGTTCTGTTTTCCGATGTCGAGCACCAACCGGGAATCGACATGGTTCTGTATTTCTGCGTGTCAGTAACATAGAAGCCACATCGCTGTGGCAGTGCTGTGCGTTGTGAACAGAAGACTGGAGTTATCGCCGATGTGACCGTGTGTTCGCGTAACAGTGGTGAAACAACAAGATGAGATGACGTGAACTGTCGGGCATTGATGCTACTGGTCAGGCCGTGATCGGAGAGGGTGTTGTGTCGCAGCCTGACATTCCGCTTTACGTTAAAGAGTATTAACACCGCTTGAGAGATTACGGTGCAGTCGATCGACCTGCGGATAGTCATGTTGGAAGGCTGGTCTGAACCGTAGCTCCTATTGTGCAGTGGCCATAGTGACTGTCGTCTGCGATGTCCTGTTGTCTCCATCCTGAGGGCGATTGCGCTCTGGGGTACAGACTGAACAGTATGGAAATATGTCAGAAAGTACGTATATTTACAGTTTGGAACTTTAGTACTAAAAACGATAACAGGTGAAATCCACAAAGCAAAGCTATCCGTTAATTTGCCTTTTTAATATGCTACGGTTCAGGAGAAACTGCCCTCCTAGTGGCGCTGCAATGAGTGCTAGAAGATTTGGAGCTCGCCACGGGTAGCTCCTTACTCTTGACACCTGCCGCAAGTCTTGGCTTTGATTGTATTCAAGTTGATGAAAAAGCGATTTCTCTGCCCGTGAAGCATCACTTCTGAGTGAATACCCGCTCTACAGAGATTAATTAAAACAACCATAACGGCCGCACGCGAACAACACATATAGAAAAAGAAATACTTGAATACAAAAACTGGCTACTACGTGCCGTGGGGGAGCAAACACATGGCTTGGAACCGCAGTGGAGCGCCTTGTTTTTTTGGTTTTTGAATAGGAGTAAAGCTTTACGCAATAGGTCGTGCATCTCAACCGGAAATAGCTATACGCACTACGCGAAACTTGTTGGGTCTCGTATAAAATGAATGGTCAAAACTAGTTTCTGAAGCGGTGGCGCAGCAGAGTGGAATGGCGTCTGTTTCATACTCATTATACGCAGCGGACCCGGGTTCAATCCGCAGCGTGAGCTTAGTTTTTTGTTTTTGTTTTTCGATAATTTTTTTAGGAACATTTGGTGATAGTTACATTTCTTTTTGCATTTATCACTGTAAAAGAAGCACATATTGTCGAACAAACTTTGCTGCACTAAATTTATTTATTTATTTATTGTTCATACCCTCAAGCGCCGAAGCATTGTAGAGGGGAGGGGCAAAGCAAACAAAAATAAAACAAACTGACAAAACAAAAAAAAAACATTCAGCAAGAAATTTAAATATTAAAAACACACTTCCATTGGCAAAAGCTGTAAGCAATATCTGTTACAGACGAAATAAACAAAATAAAATGACTCATGTTGGCTCACCAAACCGAAATGTAGACAAAGATTGGCGAAAAAGAAAATAATCAGGTATAGTTGCGATATCTGCTGGAAGGTGGTTCCAGTCGTTTGATGTATGCGGGATAAATGAATAAAAAAAGTGTTTGTTCGGCAACGTGTTAATTCAACTTTATTCGGATGGTCCAGACGGGAAGAGTAATAGTTAGGCAATGTAAAGAAATGGTCTCGCAGTGACTGATGATGGTACACTTTATGAAACAGGCAAAGTCGAAAAAAGTTTCTGCGCAATGACAAAGAGGGTAACAACAAACTGGACTTCATTGATGATATGCTAGCTGTTCGATTATAATTAGACAGAATGAAACGAACGGCGTTATTTTGAATTAGTTCGAGAGCTTTATGCAGAAAGGCGTGGTTAGGATCCCAAATAGAGGCTGCGTATTCCAATTTTGGCCGTACGAGAGTGTTATAAAGAAGTCTTAAGTTAACTGGGGCCGTTCTGAAGTTTCGTCGTAGGTATCCTAACAGGCGATTAGCGTTGGCGATTATTATATCAATTTGAGGCTTCCAGGTTAATGTCGACGATATAGTAACACCCAGATAACGATATGAGTTTACAGATTCAAGTTGAATGTCGGTTAGTGTATATTGTGAAGGGCGTGCCCCTTGCCGGGAAACGCGCATTAGTTTGCATTTGTTAGGGTTTAGTTCCATATGCCATTTTTTGCACCAAAGAGTAATATTATTTAAATCGAATTGCAAAATGCGTACATCATCATCATCATGAACTTCCCGATATATTATACAGTCATCTGCTTATAAATGCATGGAGGAAGAAACACAACTTGGCAAATCATTAATGAATTTTAGAAAAAGAAGCGGGCCTAAGACTGAACCTTGGGACACGCCCGATACAACATCATTCAGGGATGAATTAATGCCATTTAGAGTTGCATATTGTGAGCGGTTGGTAAGAAAGCATTCCAGCCAGGTTAACAAGTTAGGATCTAGGTTTAATGAAGAAAGTTTAAGCATTAGTAACTTATGATTAACCTTGTCGAATGCTTTAGAAAAATCGAGAAAAATACAGTTAGCCTGATGGTTTTTGTCCAGTATAGCATGCGAACAATGGGTGAAATGAAGCAGCTCCGTTTCACAAGAAAATGAGCGACGGAAACCATGTTGAACAGGGGCGAAAAATGAATTGGATTCTAGGTAATTAAAAATATGAGAGTACAGGATGTGCTAAATTATTTTACAGAAAATACTTGTTAATGAAATGGGTCGATAATTTAATGGAGAATGCTTGTTACCAGACTTATGCAGTGGAACCACCTTCGCAGTTTTCCATTCTATCGGGAGCGTTCCGCACTCAAGAGATTGCTGGAAAATTTTGGCCAAAAAATAGAATGAGTACATTTTAATTTGTCTTAGAAATTTTGAGTTAATATTATCGCTTCCACATGACGATGATACTTTCGAAGAATCATACGAGACTTCCTTTCCGGAGGTGCAATGGGGGATGGCGGGCTTGGGTTGTCAACTGGACGCCGCGAAGCGGCGTGTGCGGAGGGCCAAGTGGGTTAACAGGTTCGTGACTTGCAGCCACAGACTGTCGCCGCGAAGCGTTGTGAACGCTGGGGGGTTAACGCGACCCCCTGATACACGTGCCGTCCGAAAAGTGTGCTTCAAATGGCCCCAACTCTACGCGTCCTGCGTATAGCTATTTCCGGTCGAGATGCACGACGTAGTGCTTATAGCTTTACTCTTTAAATAATTACGGAATCAGCGTTTACTTTTTACTAAAAGATACATCCCTGGACCCGTTCAAAATGTTTTTAGAAGTATGATATTACTAGAAAAAAGAAATCAACATGCTGCCAGTATTATTAATGACTTACGTGGTCACCGAGGAAACCCGTACATTCAATACAACGAGTATAAAAGGCTGAAACGCAGAGCTTCGACGTAGTAATCTAGGTAGTATTGATGTATTGTGTGTGCCGTGTATGTGTATGCGTTCAATGTATATGTTCAACTGATGCTTGTAGTATGCGCGATACATCTACGTGTGTATCATAAAGGTGTCCGAAGGGTCCGAAGCCTAATGGTAGTGTGAGCGAATAAATTATGCTTTGTAGCACAAGCGCCACCTAACATTGCTACTTCCAATTATTATTACTCTACTTGACCCTGTCATCTGGTGGCAACCGATTTAACCTTCTTTCACGCTTCGCGATCTCTTCTGGTTACAGCCAAGTAAGCTTTTCAATAACTCTTCAATCACTTGATCTGGACGAAAGTCGTTCAGATTAAAAAAGGCAAGGGGTAGGGATCATGATATGGCTGCCCGTATCTAAGAGCAACGACGGAAGACAACTGAGGGCACGCGTTCGCTAAATTGAATCCGATGGTAATGCTCAGGCATTTCCATCGGATGATACCCAATGATCGTCGAACATTTTTTTTATATCTTCCCTGCCTTTTATTTGAAAAGCCCGGTCTCCAGCAGGTTGGCGCTTGGATTTTCTGCACACCTCCTCCATCATGTGTATTTTTCTTCTCGCAGCTCCATGACATACTCGGTTTTCTCCTGAGGTAAAGATCTTTCGTGCGAATACACCATCACGAGCTTACGCGACCGGCGCTTGCATGACCGGCACTTACGCGACATTGGCTTACGCGACCGATGCTCAATAGCTTACATGACCGGCTCTTCAGCAAGGGGCGCTTCAGCCACCAACGCTTCAGCCAGGGGCGTTTCGTAACCTTAATTACGCGACCTTGAGCGTTGCTGGCCTATAAAGCTGACTCTTTAAAAAATGTACAAAACTTGAAAGTATAAAAACAGCAAGGACGAGGACGGAAACCGGACATCTTTCACAAGATGTCCTGTTCCCGTCCTCGCACTCGCACTCGCTGTTTTTATACTTCCAAGTTTTGTATCTCTTAACCACGACGCTCGTTTTCAATTGTTATTGTTAAAAAAAGAACGCATCATTTCGCATTACAAAACGTACAGAAATACATGGGAGGCATTAATACCTTGACGGAAATTGTAAATTTAATTTTATTGTCTGCGTGGTTGTTTGTATTTACATTTGTCGTGGTACTTTATCTTCGTTGATTCAAAGCCCACGCACTTATTGTAGACATTTTCGCACCGAGTTGGAGGATTCTCGTCTACTGTATAATAATCCATCCACAGCGTGCAGCCTGAAAGAGCAGAGAGAGGCATTGATGTAAATAGCCACATGTAGTACTCATGGTATGCACAAGTTGACAAAATATAATAGAACTGGTGTCTGGGAAGTGTACAACAACTATAGGTAGCATACAACGTAGGAGTATTCAAGAACGGGAAGGCATAAGAACACTACGCGTCTCGGTCGCACATTTCACAAACGTACTTACTTTGACGTACATGGCATACAGCACAAAAGTATTTAAGGGAAGACTCTCAGCATTTATACTTTATGAAGTTTTCAAAATCGTATTTAGGGTATTTCATAGAATACTTCGAGTGAAGTATAAATATTTAAAAATCAATTGGACACTTTTTTAAGATACGGGGTGTCTGAATTAGTCGCCAGGCTCGATCTAAAATGGACCGTAAAAATCGACACCTGCATGCAGCAATCTAAACTTTTCGTCAAAGGTGTATTTCACAAGTCGGTGTTTTCATGTAAAATTACAAAGCGTAGCTCCCTTTCTGTAAGCAATAGGGCCAAAAAACTTGCCAGGGTCAACGGCGGGCGGCGACGCGCACGTCCGAGTTGAGTGGCGGAGTGCGTGTTGCGCATGTATTGATAGATGGCGTTGTGAGCAGCGCCGGAGTAAAGTCCCTTGATACTTCTTATACAAGTAACGACAACCCATACAAATGACAAAGCAGATTCCACTGGAAGCGAATGGCGGCATTCAGTTCAAACCTCTGCTGTGCGCCGCCATTCGCTTCCTAAAACCTGCACCGTCACGCAGTCGGCGCTTCAAAGAATGTCGCTACTTGTAGGAAGGTCTTATCTAGGGACTTTACGCCGGAGGGTGTAACCGGCCAGCGAAAGAAAGCAGACGACACGCAGACGAAATCCGTCGGCAGCAAAAGCGCCATCGTTATGTAACCGCGTATTTCGTTTTTACTTCAAGTTTTGGTACATTATAAAAAAGTTATGTTCATTTTAGTGAATTGTTTTAGTCGATCACAGTCGCCGCAAGCTGTCTCGATAAGGAGGTAGCGCCGTCTATCAATACTTGCGCCAAACGCACCCCGCCACTCGACTCGGTTGTCCGCGTCGACGCCGGCCGTTGACACTGGCAAGTTTTTTTGCCCTATTTTTTTACAGAAAGGGAGCTACGCTTTCCAATTTTGCAGGAAAGAACCGACCCATGTAATACGCCTTTTATGAAAAGGTTAGATTTCGATTTGCAGGCGCCGATTTTTATGTCCCATTTTAGATCGAGCTGGTGACTTCAGTCCCCCTGTTTTTGGAAAGCCTTTTTTTCCCCTTTAATTACTCGTGTTACAAGTTGATAATCTCAGGACAAAAAAAAAGGGGGAAGATCATACTGAGTGTTTTTAGCTGAAAAATCACATGTTATGCTAATATGTATTACAATCATCCTACCATATATGGTCGCTTGTCGCATAAAGCGTTTTATAAAATAATGTTTTACATGTATACCTAACCATTGAGTGTAATAACTAAATTCTTAAAAGCGAAGACAAGAGGCCGGGGAGATGCACAAGTAGACATGGCAGTAATTGCATTATTATAATGAAATTACTGTAATTCAATTACCTTTTGCTGTAATGTGTAATACGATGAATTACATTCATATGCTGGTAATTTAGTAATGTAATGAATTACATTCAGACAGTAATTTTGAGCAAATTACTCGTTACTTTCGTAACTACTCTTTTTCCACAGCCCATCTGAAAACAAAACCTGAGACGCGGGAGTCGAGAGCGAAACAAACAGACAAAAACGGGGTCGAAAGGCGAAGGCGATGAAGCTTTCGAGTGGAGACATATCTAGAAGGCCGCAGTGATCGAAATTCCAATCAAGACGGATTCACGGCGAAAAGGATTCGGGGACCGTTCCAGGCTGCGATGTGGAGGGCACGTTACTAAGAAGATTAACACATTTTAAAACCTGTGACAATTCAGGTGTTAACCTTAAATCGTTTGCCAAGAATCCACAACTTCTCGCGAGTTTTCTTTTCCTTCGTAGATAAATATGTTTTTGTATGCTGCATTCACCACTAAGCTGGCAGTGTGGTGGAAGCTGCGAGCTCGCTGAAGCTGTCGTGCGTGATTCTTTCGTCGCTTAATCACGCTCCCGCCAATACCCACGCGCAGAGAGCAAAGTCAAAGTCAGGTGATGAGGAGGCGGTTGATTGGTTCGACGATCACGTAGCTACCACCGCACAATCAGCTTAGGGGTGAGCGGAATATATTCGGAAAAGGCGAAAAGAGACAAGAAGACTCACATTGAGAAGTTAAATTAGGGAAAAGCAAACGCGCAGATATAGGCGCTGGTTCGTGGAGGAGGGACAGATTTCTGGAGGTGCCCGCAACCAGTTTCCTTCTCTGGTGGCGTTTCACCCCAGAAAGCACTGCAGCTCCCTTGTGTGGCAAGGCGCGATATTTCGCGTTCTTCTGGTTTTATAGAGCAATACTCATCAAGAAGAATGTCCCGGAATGCTTTGACCAGTGCTTCTGAGAGAAACGGTTCGACTGCGTCCGAGTGAGAAGGAAGAAGTTTTAGGAATTTCCTGAACCTTGTGTAAGATGGACTCAGGAAGGATATGGATCCCCTTCGCCAAAGGCAACATAATGGGCTGTGTATCACATCTCACAAAAGCTGTTGCGACTTCACGTAAAAACCCGACTAACCGAATTGCACGACTTCTTTAAAATCTAGAGGACGCAATCACATCAGCCATATATTGATCAAAATGAACAGCGAAATCAGTGAACTGTCTGTTTTAGTCATATCTTAAAAAATCTCCACCTTGTGTTTAGCACTTCCGTCGTCACTGGCACGAATTACTACCTGCAAGAATTTAAAAGCAATTTCGAAGTCATTTCATTACTTTCAAAAAATATTTGCAATGTAATGTAATTACTTTAGTCTGCAGTAATCTGTATTTTAATTTAGTCACATTTGCGGATTTCTGAGCAAAGTAATGCTTAATGTAATTTTACTACTTTCGGAAAGTAATTGTGCAATCGCTGCGCACAAGTATCTAAATCCCTTTTCTACGAAGAAGTGATTATATCTTTTAAATAAGGCCCCCCCAAACAGAAATGTGACGTGAACCTCCCCCCGCACGCAGGTTCCCCTCTACATGAAAGAATATCCTTCTCTCCCTCTTTCCCCTCCCGCAAGGCGACGCCAGTCTTAAGCGTGACCGTGCAACGCCTCTAATAGCAATTTCGATCAACTCGCACCTGAACTGCCCTGAAACCAGAACAGTGGATTTTACCGTTCTGGTGTCAGCCCATTTTTACTTTTTTGGGGTTCATCAAACAATTACCGAGAACCTATTAAAGCATTATTCGGTTAGCCTGCCGATTTATTATTTAATGCTTCATTGGCAGTTAATATTTCTAACCGGTTCATGGGCAAAATATTGACGAACCAAAAAAAGTGCAAAATTAAACGCATTCGCCTCCCAGGCGTGGACGAGTAGACCTGTATGAAGAAGAAACGTATAGGTAAAATGTTAACCTAAAGTAAACTACTGTAGAGGTGAGATGTGTAACTTCAGGCCACTACAGAGGTTTACTCGTGTCCCGGCAACTTCAATGCCGTGCAGGTGTCCGTTTAGTTCAGCAGACTAATGTGTACAATCAGAGCAGGTCGTTCTTGTCGGAGAATATCACCGAACCTCCTTGCCTCACGCAGCTGAAGTAAGAACGTGGCGAGAGTGTCCTTTAACTAATAGTTAAAAGACACTCCCCAGGTTATGATTGATAATCGATATTTTATATTGCGCTGTTTATCACATATTCCGCAATATATATATAAAGTTTTGACTTAAAAGTATGATGCATGGAGATGAACGAGACCGACTACTCAATAATTCATCAATTAAAGAATGAAGATTATCCGGGTTAAAAGTTTTTATCCCTGCCCAGCCCTACTTTTCGGTGTTCTTAAGTATGTTACTCTGCTTCTAACTGAGGTTTAAGGTATACTTAGACATCGAAGTTCGTCACTCACCTTGGCTGGTTTTATTATAGAAGGTTTTTATAACTTGGCACTTCTCCGTGGCGTTCAAGTAAATAAGTTTCCTATTTTGTTCTGTTTGACACAAGAAACAAAAACACGTTTATAACTTGTCTTCAGGTTATTTATACAAGTATTACTCGCAAGACGAGCAAGTACGCGGACTAACTGGTATAAAAACATGTTAATCTACACCCGTTCTTTTTATTTTTATTATCTCAGTGCAGGGAATAGCAGTATTTCAAATACAAGTATTTGAAATACGTATTTAAAATATTTTGTGTATTTTGCTTTTGTATTTAATTACAAATTGGGTAATGTATTTGACGTGTGCATTTCAATACTAAAACGAGGGTATTTCAAATACAATTGTAATTAAAAACAATTTGTGGGCTAAAATATATCCCTCAATTTTATTGTCACGGTCCAGAGCAGGAAGAAAACTGTGTTCTGCACCGAATGCAGTGTCTCTCAATCAAGCACAAGTGTTTAGTGACTTTGTGATTACGGTGCTAGTCCAGGGCAAGAAGAGTGACGAATGGCGAAATCGACGTTCACAGGCAGACTGGCTAAATAAGTGCCTGTGACAACTTGTGATGCTTTCCAGCCTGATCTCCATCTATATCTTTTGCCTGGAACATTCTAAATGTGCGGGTCATCCAGATTTCCGTAACTGGTGCGAGTTCAAACAATAAAAAAATCTCTAGCTTGTGCTGCGCGTCTTGGTCGTCTCGGTACTTTGATGGTCTATACCAAAATGTATAATCGACAAAAGAAGCTGCTTGAAGCTCTGTACTTTTTTCACCTATTACGTCCAAGCTGATTACATTTTTTGTGATTATATTTCTATCACGCTACTAGATCCTCGCACACTATTTATTTATTTATTTATTTATTCGAATACCTACATCGCCCAGATCTGGGCATTATTGTAGGGGGGTAAGGCAATACAAAACAATAGCAAACGATACATATAGAGATACACAAGAACTATTGTGATGCAGAAATAGTGGATATGACATCTTAATTAGGAGAAAAATACAACATACAACACTTTGTACAATATATGAAAACAAAGTATAGTGGATGGCACTATTAGAGGGGCAAAGTGAAAAATTATTCCAACAGCAAGTTTTTTAGGGCAGTAGGAAAGGATGAAGGAGCCGCAGAGATAACCTCAGTTGGTAAATTGTTCCATTCGTGTATTGTTCGTGGAAAAAACGAGTGCTTAAAAACGTTAATTCTGCATCTATATTCTCGTACTTTTAAGTGATGATCTGTACGCGGCGACACATAACTGGGCTCCTTAATATAACGTTCTTTCTCGATGCCGGTCCTACCGTTTACTATGTTAAAAAATAAAGTGAGCCTAAGGAACCTTCGTCTGTCTTCCAACAGAGGCCATCCCAGGTTGCGGCGTATTTCAGATGATCTTATAGAGAAATTATAATTGCCGGAGACAAACCGAGCTGCCCGTTTCTGAATACGTTCGAGTTGTTCAATGGTGTGACGGGTATGCAAATCCCATGCCGCACATGCATATTCCAAAATGGGACGTACATTCGATATGTACAATGTTTCTTTAAGGTTAGTAGGTGCCTGACTAAAATTGCGTCTCAGAAAGTTTAATGTGCGGCTGGCCTTAGATGACAAATAATCAACATGAGCATTCCATGACAAGTTACTAGAAAATAAAACTCCCAGATATTTATATTCAGGTACAACCGTTAAACGTGTGACACCAAGGAAATATTCTGTGGCCAGAATTTGTCTTTTGTTAGAAAATCTGACTACGTTACATTTGTTTAGATTCAAGGCCATATTCCATGTTTGACACCATGACATCACAGAATCGAGATCGTCTTGCAGAATCTGGGAGTCATCCTCACACGTGATATCACGGTATATACAACAATCATCAGCATACAGTCGGACGTGGCTAGAAAGATGACCAGCAAGATCATTTATGAACACTAAAAAAAGAAGGGGGCCCAACACCGATCCTTGCGGAACACCTGATAAAACACTAACATTTGACGAGCTCACTCAAGCGGTTAATCTCAGCGGTTAATCTCAAGCGGTTAATCTCAGGCAGGCATAGACTGTCACATCCTACCACTCCTTATCCAAGGAAAAATCCCCCAAAGTGTTTAACTTCGACCTCTAGCACAAAGGAATGCCACGGGATTTGGGGGCGTCGGTGGTCACATGTATCCTATTTCTGGTTTGAACACGAGCCACCCCTTCCCAACCCAAGACTTTCAAACACTTTTTATTTTTATATTTTTTTTATTTTTTTGTGTGAGAGGAAATAATCTCTCCACCAACAACTTTCTTTTTTTTTTTTTTGCGCGCGCGAGCGTAAATAATCTTTTCTTGCAAACCGATTTTTTTTTTAATGATTGTCAATTTTTGGTGCCCTCTCCTTTCTGTGTAAACTATCTGTTTTGTCAACGCTGTTTCTATTTCCTACTGCACTTTACTCCCTCTAATTTCTTCTTAGGGGTATATAAACATTCACGGGCTGTACCCTCGCTACCTGATGAAGAGCGGTCCCCGCTCGAAACGTCGTAATAAACTTCGAATTAGTAACTCCGACAGTACGCATCTTTCACTTATTAACTTTTCCCGGTCCATTCTTTTTATATATACCTTACTTTACCTATATATATATATATATATATATATATATATATATATATATATATCTTGCCGCGTGCATGGCTCAGAATTAACGCTACTTCATACTTCGAAATATGCGACACTCGAACATTCTAGAGCGAATTTTCGAGATACCAAGCATATCAGATAAGGAACCCAGCGTGGCCTTGCCGTCGCACTCTCGCTCTAAGCAGCTGCCACGCCGACACCCCAAAGCTCACTGCTGCTTTCCCTCTAGTCCTTCTTTCTTTTGTTTCTGGAACAAGTTCGCTGATTAAACCTTCATTTTAAATCTTACGCTTGTTGATCCTTTTGCATCCGGAACAACATACGTATTGTGGGGGATGGGGAAAAAGCTGTCCAAGCAGCTTGACGTGTCCCAAACCTCCATAAAGGTATACAGCGGCTCAGAAAACTACACTAGAGTTTGTATATGGATACTATTTCACACACGTACTACAAAACCAGAAAATGTCAACAAACAATAAAGTGAAAACGCTTTTATAAATCGGCATTACAGCCACTTATTTGTTTATAATAGTTGCAAAAAGCTCTCAAGAAATTTAGATATTTTAGCGTAAGTTCGCCTTGAGGAAAACTCTGCAATGAATATGAAGTCCTATTTGGAAAAACATATACAACTTTACGCAAACTTGAATAAAGTATATTGATATTTAAATCTATGGAAGTGTTTAATGGTCTTTTGGTAAGATTTTTTCTAACTACTTGAATTCCATAATCTTTGCGAGATGCCTCTACAATAAAGAAGTCTGATTGACGAGTGAAATGTGGCAGGCTTTTTCTTTCCGGAGTGATGTCAGAGTTAACAAAGAACCATTATTATCTAGATCTAGATATTCCTGTCTGTATTTAACGCTAAGCCTGTGTCTGTAGTGTGCCGTAATTTATAATACCCCCAAGCAGAAAGTTGGTATGTGCAGAAAACATACAACAAAAACCTGAGCGCTTTCTTTTCTTTTGCAGGAGGAATATTTTACGTAGATTTGTTTTTGTTGTGGTACACCAGACCAGGCGGCTATAGTTCAGCTGGTATATAAATGGCGTGTTGTACAAGAGTGACTTGCATGATAGGAGAATCTAACGATGTTTATGTAGCAAACGAATTATACCAGCAAGTGTTAAACTTGTATGGTTTATATGCTCAGTTCAAGACATGTGATATGAAAGCAAAACGTCCAAGGTCTTGAATGACCTCCGGGCTCTAGACGCCTTGCGTTTATTAGGATGTCGGGGACTATATAGACTACGCAGTTGTCTCATAAAATACGCCTACTCTGTAAAGATGTATAGGGTTTCTGGCAAAGATTTGAATCTTAATTATCTTGTTTAGTGTCGGTTTTACCTTAAAAGTAACCACATTGACAATATCCTTTTACTTCCATATTAAAGTGAATTCTACGGCTGTATTGTGTAAAAACAACCACGAGGTGGCTGACATTAGTAATACCGCTTCCTTTTCTATTTTTGTTACAAGCATGTTTGAAGCAAGTGCGGCACTTGCACATTCATATAATTACTCAAAAATAGTTACGCCAGGGTTCAGCATGTCGTGCGGATAGTCTACCTTAAAAAGAAACTTTAAAATAATAATCCGCCTGAACCAAGAAAATTAATCTAGTCACCAAGAAACTGGGATATAATTAATATTTGTCGCACTTCGCATTTTCTGTTGTTATCAGCTTGTGGAGAGTGAAAACCCACTAAGGAAGGCCCTTCGACGATCCAACTTACTTTTGTGATGTCTCCAAGCGTCATAGTAAAACATATCACTGCGTGTTTTGTCGAACAGTACTATCATCTCGTACTGGTGGCCGTATCTAAAAGACAGTTTTAATCAAAACTTAATTGATTGATGAATCTGCTGGACAATGCCTATTTATACTCTGAGAGTTTAAGGTTCGAAAAGTCTCCAACACTTTGTCTAATACCTTTTTATTTGTTATCACAAATGAGTTTTTAATATGCATTTGTTCTTCAGATACCTGAATGCTCTATAGGTATTCATTTGTATAGTGGCGAACGTTTTTAGAGAGACAACTTATTGGTCTAAAATTGCCTTCTTAGAAAACTTGCTTCTTTCGCAAAAAACAAACAATCCCCAGCATCGCTTCTTTGACTGAAGAGTGGGGTGACTTGCATATATTAAGAAAGACATGATTCTTGATACCCTCTATAAAACCAACAAATACTGAAGCTAAAAAAAACGGTGCCACACTAATATAGGAAGGAAATCTAGAAATTACTATCGTCGTATCATTAATTTGATGCTCTTTCATGTTCTAAGCTCAGCGCTTGGAGCATGTTTTCCTTTGACAGACATGGCAAAAAAATTACGGTTGCTTAAAAAAAGCTTGATAATGCATGAAGCACTCTATACGCCGTGCAAGTTCATCTGCTCTTTGCGCAACGTGTACTTTTGTTTACCGCCAAATCCGTCCACGTACCTTTGTTTCCCCCGACCACAACCAATGACGGCGTGCTCGTGGCTGCGTCGTCATCGGTCGGTGCCTACACGTTATCTATGTTGGCCTTTAGTATGCCGCTCCTTGCGTCCTGATGCGCCAAAGACACATTTTGGAACAGTTGCTGGTCATATAGAGTTTGTAGATCTCTTTTTACTTTACTCTTATATGATTTTATCTTACAATTTTTTTTTGAACTCTCTAATCATGTAAGATTTTTTCTTGTTTTACTCTTCGGGGGTTGTGAATGTCAAGCGAATGCATTTTATGCATTACCGCTATTAGCTTCTAAGTAACTCTTCATTCTTTATTTTACCTGGATATTATTCGCAGAACAATCTTTAATGCACCTACTTTCTGTGTTGGAATACAACTGTTTGAACAACATCTTCGAACAAACTTGCGCGCGTTCTAGGTAACGATTTCGAGAACGCTCGTCATCCTGGGCTTTGGCTCAATTTGGCCCCATCGTGAGAGATGTTTTATATTTTGATAAAACTATAGCTCCAAGGCAGAATATACAAAACAAGGTCTTTATATAACTTAATGCTCACAATTTTACCAAAAAAATAACTTACTAAAATTATAAAATATTACGAAGGATGTTTCTGATAGGCCCCAATTTAAATACGAATATCTTCTACACTTACCAGCGCGCACTTGTGAGAAACATTAGACACAATATTTCAAATATATTTAGGCACGCGATACTTCAAGAAACAATTCTTCAGCTTGGGTTTCTGATAGATGTCCGAATAATAAGGCGAGCTAGAAGGTCGTTTATGTTACAGGTGCGAACTACCGGTTTAAAAAAAATGACCTGCAGTAGTCGAAAACCTTTTGAAGACAAATTTTGTTCCGAGCTATAGTTCAACTTTGCATTCAAAACCAACCTATGTCTCAAAAAAGTCACATAAAACAATTAAAGGCAAGCGATTTTCAAATGCACACTTACGGGTCTCCATCGTAACCTTTAGTCTCGTATCGGATTGTGATGGGATCACCTGGGCGCTTGTCAAGTCCTCCCCACCTTGACACACAATTGTAGCTTCGAAACGCCCAATCATCCATGTAGTTGCGATACTTCATATAGTACGTGCCTTTGGTATAAAAAGCCTAATAACGAAAATGCACGAGAATATTACTGATTGACGAGGCCATATCTATTTTTATACTAGCAGAAGCCGACTGGTGTCGCAGTCTCCATCTCAAATCGGGGGTTGCATTCGGTCAGTCTGATTATGAACCATAAGATGGCGTTCGAAATTGTGCATGCTAATAATTGTTTTATACTTTAACATTCGAACACATGATTGCAGCATTTCCGAGTGCCTTACCCTTCCGATTCTTGTAGGATAGCTCGAGAGATCTTTATTTGAATGCATTCGTTAACACACCCTAAAATATTCCTTTGAGTCGAAGCCTTTAAACTGTCTCATGTCATATAAAAACACCGAAAATATACTAACACACTTCTTTTTTATTTTTATTGTAACACCCTTCCCAGACAAAATTAAAGTTCCATCATGTGCTTATTAATTATTAGGGTTGCGTTAGCAAGCATAAATTACTCTACACGATGGTTCCCCTTCCTTACAAGCTTTTACTTCGAACAAAATTTGGGATCGATTATGCAATATAAACATATGCAACCATCTCGCTTGTATTTATTTTCTACAACCTTACAAATTTGGTTACCCGCAACTTGCCACCTTTTGATTCGCCTTTTACCAGAGCTTAGATGAAGCTTGCTCCCAAAGTACAATCTAATCGCTATTCAACGTTTGATTAGAGTTATTTTGACAAAAGATTTCTGCCGCCTTACCTCAGTTGCATTATATGATGGCTTTTTGGCATTCACCTCGTGCCAACTGTGCAAGACAGCCGCCATAATAAAAAAGACGAAGAGTCCAGTGCACATGGTAGCTTTAAATTGAACTGTCGCCCAGGCACTTGATTTCCCAGCATACCAGGGAATCAGGTCGTAGACGGGAATTGAGAATACAAACATTTATAGTCCAGGTTTTAGGCGCTGCCCACCAGGTTATTAGAGCAAGGCATTGTTGTCTAGAAATATCAACCACTCACTTGTAGACACGTGGTATTTTTGCAGCGTTTATCGTTTCGTGTATCCTGATATATAAGATCTTGCAAAGCGCGTATAACTTCATTTGAATGTCGTTGATTGTTCTTATGGTATGGTGTCATAAGAGAAAGTTCGGCATTTTGTGACATTCATAAAACGTTTCTAATGTCGTGCGTAGGCTGTTGTGTTTATTATTCACGAAACCCTTATACAAGCCACGTTGACATGACAATGAACTCCGCCGCAAGATATATCAGCTTGAATACAAATTGGGAGGTAGTCCACTACTTATTCAAATAATTTTGTAATCGTCGACCACGTTAGATTTCTAAAGCAGCAATTTGTATATTAATTTAATTGCAATATTTTTGTCACGAACTTCATTATTATTACTTGTTACTTATTAAACACGTGTACATATTACGATAATTAGCTCTTCAGTCAATTCACCAGCATAAGAAATAACTCAATACTAGAAAATATATGCAGAGCACTACGATCGAAAGTAAAGAACCTACCTGTTGTCGTACTCTTCCTCTGGCGCATTATCCGGCACGGCATAGGCCGAGCCAAAATCTGCCAATGTCACCATTTATTTAGGAATGATCGCCTTGTACTCTACCGCGTTCCAATCGGCAAATAAATAAGAAGATAAAAGCAGGAGAAGAAAACAGAGATCTTAAAAAGGGCGTCGTGGAACGGTTCTCTACCTACCTTAGAAAATAAAGAAAGTCTATAAAAAGTGATGGCTGCAGCAAAGCGCCTCACTTGGTGCGCCGCATTTGCCCAAGCCAGAAGCGCGAGCATTAGTTTCACTACAGTTTGCAGAAATGGGGGCATTTCCCTTTCCTTGAGATGCACTAAATCGGCCGCAAAGTGAGCCGCTGGACTAAAATTTTCGCAGTGCGGAGTAGCTCGCCTCCGACCGTGGCAAGGAGGAGCGGCGCCACCCTGTCAGATATGATATAATAATTATTATAATTCTTTGTTTCCTGTGCCCACAAACAACTTTTCAGTCTCCACTGTCGTGGAGACTGAAATGTATATCATGGTTTGTATAAAATATTCCCTTCAATTGTGGTTTATATTATATTAGCCAAACTAAACGTCACATAAATTAGTGCTATGACAACACACAAGAGATGTATCAAAAGTAAGGACCCACAAAGATATGCCTTCATGCGCGAATCCGTCTCAGTGGTCGTCGCTCCACCAAACTTTTCAAGATTAAGTTCAAGTTTATTATCCTCAAGGACGTTCGTTCGAACTATTACACGAAAAAGAGGGAGGGGGAAAGAAAAAAATCAAAGTCAAAAGCGCAGAGTACATTGGCAACAAAAACAAGTTTAAACAGCAAACTTAAAACAGGCTGTACAGGATTATAACACTTGTTTAAGCAGAAATATACTAGTAACCGCAATTACTACAAAACTTTAACACACACGGGGCTTAAGACAATATGCTTCCGACTATCGAAGCCTGCGAGTGTAAACTACTTTATGCGAAGAAGTTTCGCTGATTGGAACCTTCAGTCCCTTAAGCTTAGGAGCGCCTAAAACAAGTCGCTTCTTTGATTTTCAATTTATGGAAAGGTACCACAATTAGCCCTTGTTTAGCACTTGCAAATTGACCTATTGTATGCACCTTGTCAATCAAGCTAGGCTCCAGTGCCACTTGCAATAACTCGGAAACAAAATTGAGAACCCTAACTTCCGATTTCTGCCAAGTTTCATATGGGTTGTCGGGTAACCCAAAAAAGCAGATTGTATCTTCACCGCCAGCCCTCAAGGTGATCATGCATCACGTAAATTTGATAGGTAAGCCTACCATTTTTACTAGCAGTGACTTTAACTTGGTTCACGCCATTTTTCAGCTCATTGACTGTAGTCCGTTCTTGCTCCATCTTAGACATCCTTGTGTCAATCCCAGCGAGCGCGTCGTCAGCTTCCTCTTGTTTTAGTTGAACGTCGTGAGCGACCTGCAGAAGCTTGTTCTGACTGGCTTCTAATCTAGTTAGAAACGCGATAGTTTTATTGTCCCTTCCCGATACACTGCTCAAATTTTCCGCTCATAAGTGTTTAGCGTGAAGAGTGCCGGGATTTGTTTCAATATCACCCGCTGAGTGACTGAGTGGAAGCAAGAACGCTCGATGAAGAATCAAGCGCAAAACCAATAACAAATTGCAGGACAAGTGAACATGGCGCCTCAAACAGTAAAACGTTCTCGTATCAAGATTTAAAATGCAATAGGTAACTGAAAAAAAAAAAGTAAGGTGGATATCCTTCCGGTGCCAAACCCGAGTGGTATGAAGTCGATTGCTTCTTTTGTAGCCATTCAGTTGCGTCCGATGTCCCTGTTTGCCAGATGCCGAGCTACCGAAAGCGTTGGCGATGGGAATCAGGTAGATCGCAATTCCTTTCGCAAGGAAAATCCGCGGTCGAAGCTGGCGAATTTGACGGCACCGCTTCCCAAGGCGAAGGCAAAAGGACTCTTCCACGGTTAAAAGGCATATCTGCAGCCAAAACAAGGGTAAGGCGGACAGCCTTCCGGTGCCAAGCATTCCGGGGAGAGATTCTGTAACACTGAAACAACATTACCTACAGCATGGAAGCGTACTACAAAAAAAAAGAAAAAGAAAAGAAAGCACGCATACTCTCCGTTTTACAAAACCTACAGAAATACATGAGTGGTGTCAATTCCTTGTCGGCAATTGTGAAGGAATTTTTATTGTCTGCCTCATTTTGGAGGTTTGTATTTACATTTATCGTGGTACTGGACCTTCGTTGAACCCCCGCAGCTCTTGTAGACTTTTTCGCACTCAGTTGGAGGCTCCCCGTCTACTTTATAATAGCCCATCCACAGCGTACAGCCTGAAAAAGCAGAGAAACGCATGGATGCAAAGAGCCACAAGGAGTGGTCCCGATATACACAACTTGGCAAATCGTGAGGCATAAGCAGTGTCTAGGAAGTGAAGAATGGGTACAGCATACAACGTGCAAACATTCGAGACCGGGGTGTCACCAAGAACACTGCACTACCCGGTGGTACAACTCACAAGCGTACTTCCGTTGCTGTAAAGGATACACAGCAGGAGTATCTAAGGCAAGAAGTAAGTTTTTGCATTTCACTGGGTTTCGAAAATGGTGTTTCGGCAGTTTTCTTTTATAAATAAGAGAAGTACAAACATTTTGAAATCTAATTCAGAAACTTCATAACATATTTTACACGCTTTATTTCTTTGATTACTCGCGTTGCGAGTTGATATTTCTGAGACTGGGACAAAATTAAAAGTCGTAGACCATACTTAAAAGGCCCGTGAAAAAAACCGAGAATGTTTTTTAGCAGTTTGGTTGGGTACCGCGCGTCAAAAAATTAATTTTTACGAAAAAACAAACAACATTTAGAGCAATACTGACGGCGCAAGACGCGATTTAGTCGCCAGTCACCTCCTTTCCACTTTTTTTTCTCTCGGAATTTCGGGCGCGTGGAGGAGAGCTGAATCGGCTCATTCGCCTTCAGGACCGAGATGGTCATTGCGTAATGACCCGTGACGTCATGGACTTCGCGCGAAGAATTTCAAATAACTCTCTTGCCGTCAATATTGCCCTAATAATTTTTTTCGCGTAATTTTTTTGGCACGTGCATATTAACCAGACTGTTTAAAAACATTTATTTTTATTTTCAACAGCCCATTAAAGTTTTTTTTTTTTTTTAGAGCGCAGCAATTATTTGCCTGCTTCCGCTTGAGCGGCATCGTCGGCATCGGTGGCGTCGGCGTAACCGTGCGTTGCATTATGGGACGTTTTTCATAATAACGTCACACGTGACGTCACGTGTGACGTCACATGAGTTACCCTCGTGAGAGTTACGAGGGTTACCTTCACTAGGATTACGAGGGTTACCCTGACGAGGGTCACCAGGATTACTCGCACGAGGGCCACGAGGGTTACCCTCACAAAGGTTATCCCTAACGTGGCATTTCTTTTTGTTTCTAAGTTTGGCTGGCAACACTGCTTACGCAAGGCAGGTGGCGCTGCGGGGATCCACTAATGATGACGTTTCAGAGGGAAAGGCATAGGTCTTGTCTTCTACGTGTAATAGACCATAGGCGAATTTCTTCGGATGTCTGGCAACACTCTTTGCGCTGCCATCTTTGTTTCGAGGAGTTTCCTCTGCCATTCTTTGAGATCGTATCGTTGTCGGTAACAATGGAGGCCTACTGCTCACCGTCATCGATCCTCACCCACACCGGCGAGCTAAGGGTTAGTATTGTTTTACGATCTTCTTGCGCACGTACGTGCTCGTCGCCCCGCCGGTCGCTGGTTTCTCGCCGTAACCAGCATGACGGACGTACGCTTCAATTAAACATTTTTTTTTCATTATTTAAGTGCGGGCAATGGCACGGGCACGGTCCCCTGGTTATCGAAAGCACTTTATCTGCGAGAGTGCTTCTGCGAGCGAATTATTTTTCAGAACTACGCTTTTGCGACCTGGCCTTTGCCAGCTCCGAAGCCAACTGGTGATACGGAGAATGTTCTTCGGCGCCGCACTAGATGACGCTGTGCATTTCGCACTTCGTCTCCTCATCGCCCCCTGTCTTGCCAAATAATATCAACCAAGAGGCAACGTCATAACCACCTTTCGTGTCAATAAACGTATTTGCTACAACTATTGCTACATGAAATCCGTTTTATGCACTATTACAAAAACGGGTGATGCGGATTTCAGCGTTTGAATGTATGGTGAGTGTTTTACTCGCTTTCAAAAGCGTTGCACAAGAGCGTGCTGGGATGTAAAGATCGCACACGGGGATGTCACTTTGGAAATATTAGAATGGTGTGCACATATATATAAACTTGGAAGGGTGTTGGTTTTTGGACAAAGACGACGGAAAGAATTTCTCTATAGTTTGCAACGTTTAATGGAAATTAGTTTTTGGTAAAACAGTTTGTGAATGTGCCTATACACCCTGCTCCCTTGGCGTGTTTTATAGTTTTAGAGCGCAGCTCTTAGGGGCCCGTTCCCGGCTTGAGCGGCGTCGGCGTCGGCGTAACCAAAGTCACCCCAAGGTCACGCGGCCCCAAAATCATCCCCAGGCCACGTGACCCCCAAGGTCACCTGACACCCAAAGTCGCGTGACGCCCGAGGTCACGTGACCCCCCCGAAGTCACGTGACACCCCCCGAGCTCACGTGACCACCCCCAGGGTCACATGACCCCCCCGCCGAGGTCACGTGACCTCCCCGATGACGTCATCGTCACTGATGACGTCATCAGTGACGTCACTGATGACGTCACCGGCATCCGCATCGTCGTCATCATCACGGATGACGTCATCAGTGACGTCACTGATGGCGTCACCGACATCTGCATCGTCATCGTCATCATCGCTTATGACGTCACCGGAGTCCGCGTCGTCACCGTCACTGATGAAGTCATCAGTGACGTCACTGATGACATCATCGGCATCGTCACGTGACCCCCCATGTCACTTTATTCCCCCCCAGTACCCTTCCCTCCTCCTCCTCAAGAGCTGCGCTCTAATTCGCTGTTACCGGGCTTTTAAGCGAAAAAGTAAACGGCTTTTTTATTCTGGGTAGAAATATTTATTGTATTGTTTATTATTCTGTATACATGTCATACACCCTTCGTAATATAAATGTACAAACTAATTACTACTTGTATGTTTTAGAGCGCAGCTCTTAGGTGCCCGTTTCCGGGTTGAGCGGCGTCGGCGTCGCCGTCGCCGTCGGCCTAACCAAGGTCACCCCAAGGTCACGTGACCCCCAGGTCACGTGATCCCTCCCAAGGTCACGTGACCCCCAAGGTCTCGTGACCCCCCGAGGTCACGTGACACCCCGAGATCACGTGGCCCCCCTCCCCAAGGTCACGTGACCTCCCCTCCCCCCGAGGTCAAGTGACCCCCCCCCCCGGAACATATTAAAGAATGAGGGGAGGAGGAGGAGAAGGAGGAGGACGAGGAGGGATCTACCCTCCCCTCAGTACCCTTCCCTCCTCCTCTTCAAGAGCTGCGCTCCAATTCGGCGTTACAGGGAGTTGTAAACGGCTTTCACTTTTATGTACTCTAATTTATGGTTGAACGAGGCACCGTAGTAGAACCTTGGCAATATCCACAACTGGGGTTTGGAAATTTTTTGTATCTACGGAAAAACTCACACTACAACATTCACGTCTAGCTGAGTCCTCCTTCCAAGAACATGATTCTCATAAATATTTTGAGATAAGTATAAGAAAAATACAACCCAGACCATCAGTGAATTATCTGACGTGAAAACACCCTGGAAAATCAGGAAGAAAAGTAGATTCGAGCGCGCGGGTGCATTCACAGCACCGAGTTTTTGTTGCAGTGAGTAGCGACTAGATGCCAAGCTCACTGTTCAAACATGTCAGAGCATCCAGTGAGTAGAGACCATGGTGTAAATTCTAATACCGTAGTAGAGAAAAAGGCAGCTTGCTTGGCGTCTACCGACTGATTATTACAGTGTACTACTACAGAATACGGGGTAGTGTTGGGCCGGAGCGGCTACACGCGTGAGGCATATGGTGTAGATCGCGATGGGTGTCCACACAAGCGCATCGGAAGTAGAGGGTCAGTGTGGTGGTGCATGGTTGTGCGTGTGCGCCAGGTGCACGCGCACGGGTGATGGCACGTGCAGGCTGCAGCGACCTTCTGCTGCCCTGCCGACTGCAGCGCCGCGATCGTTGTCTGCAGGCGCAGCCACACAAGCTTTCATCCCAAACACTACCCTGAATTCTATTACAGTGTATGATTATTCCAACCAGAGTTCCGAGCTCTGACATCCCCGGGCGCCCTACTTTCATCATATCTCTCAGTTTCTATCTGCAGATTCAATGTAAAGATGAGAACGAGCGTTGCTATGCTCGTTTTCTCCTAAAAAAGAAATAGTGTTCTTTTCTTGTTTTTTTTTTTTTTTATGGAAATTATAAACTACGCATCGCCGAACGCTGATTCTCGGTTCAAATATAGCGCTAGAGGTCCGAATTAGAGGCCAGTAGAGGACAAAACTTCAGTAGTAACCGTTTTCTTAATAAGTTATAAGTGAGTTTCTGACATTTTTAATGGGGAATTCGGAGCCGACAGAGCTTTTGAATACATGGAGCTCTATGGCGTGACCAAAAACGGGCAAAACTGCACCTCATTTTCCCATTGCAAATTTCAGAAAATCTGTTGTAACTCTTGAAAAAGACACCGGTTCGTGCTGAAGCTTTGGCATCTGGTTCGGACCTCTAGCGCTACATTTTGGCGAAGAATGAGCGTTCAGGGGTGGCAGAGTTAATTTTTGCATGAAGAAAAAAACACTCAATATTTGAGGAAGTCATCGTATACGGGTACGAACCCATTTTAGAACAGTTTTTAATTCCGGGAATTTGAAAAAAAAACAAAAAAAAAACCTATGACTGAGCAATATTATCGTCTGCGTGACTGATAAATGTTCCAAGCTATCCTGTACGTACGCATTGTTTATGATATTTGCTCTCATAATTAAGGGCAGGAAGAAAATGCACCCACTTTTCCCATGAGAATGCATTTTGTCGGAAGCCAATTTAAAACTTGTTGCTGCCTGCTTCAATTTGACATCTCACATTAACGCCAGTTGGACCTCTAGCATACATTATGAGAACTCTACGAAGACGCGTTGTCGATTATTCCGACGCAAGCTCACTGCGTGGATACGCTCTTGATAACGAGAAAAGGCGCTGACCTCGTCGCAAAGTCGTCCTTCGATTATTCTTTTTCGGTCGTTTATCGTTCGTTCGAAATATAGTCAATGGATCCTCAGAAAGTAGCGCCGTTGTCTTAGCTGTCTATTAACCGGGCACAAACAGAC